GGTAATCTACTATTGATGATTATTGAAGTCAACTAATGTGATATGTGATATAAACTGTATTAATGACCACACATTAACATAGGATGTAACGTAAACGTGGGTTATTCTGCGTGAGCTATAAATCCGCGGATTTGTCATTCAAATACCAAATTGGTATATCAAATGTTGTAACTTTTTGACAGGACACAGAAAATACGCAGGACATGTGCTTACAAATTGATCGAATTTAATAAAATCGATTATCGAGTGCGCGGAATTACTGCACGTGTGGAATACCCCACGTTCACGGTACGCAGTTTTCCAAATGGAAACTATCATGCTGATGTTTTGGTAAACTTCCATAAATGAAAATCATGCATATAATAATTAATTTACGTGGCATGTAGGCATGTGAAACGCTGATAGTATTTATTTTATTTTAAAGTAAAAAATAACATAATAATGTTTGTGATTTGGTAGAAAATGTACATCCAAATAAACGAAGCCTGGGTGATTGGTGACTGTAGAAAGATACATTTTTTATTTTGTTTGAAATCGATTGCATACCACACACGAAAATTTAAACAAATGGCAACACTGCATGCCTCGCTGCATGCGCGAAGGTGCTTTGTGAGTCAGTCGATCTAAATGATGTACGTTCTGCCTCCTCTTGGGTAGGGGAAGGATATTGATAAAGTGAAATGAAAATCAGTTCATCAATAATACTCGTCATCAATCCATCGTCATCAATATTACCTTTTCAATAATATTGTCAGTTTGTCAATTTACTATCAATATATTGACCCGTGTAACGAGCGCTTTATCGTATTGTCATTAATGTTGTCAATATTTATGTATTGATAATATTGTAAGGAAAATTGACAATTCGATGTTTGTCAATATGATGTCAATACATGTGTAATGGGCGCTTAAAACTTTCAATTTCCGATTTTTCAATGAAATTTCTTTTTTAACTCAGTTTGAAATGTGAGTGTAAAGCAAACCTCACACGCATCAATATATTGACGCGAAGGGGAATTATTGACAATAATATTGATGATGTGAATTCAGAAATATTGTCAATCTCGATACATTGACTTCAATATAGAATGTATTGACAATACGATTATTGTCAATACAAGCAATCGTGTAGGGTCCACATAACATGATTCCAGTTTTGTTTTGTTGGATTTCGTCGTACTTCTCTAACAATTCCAATTTCACCAAATACCCCACAAAACGGGTATTTTTATAGTCGGGTTGACGTGTAGGGACAAGAAATCGATATTGAGGCCATTCGGAATTTCAAGATGGTGGCTTCCGGTTATAGAAAAACTTGAAAATTGTGTCAAATATCCCTCAATATGGGTATTTTTAGAATTGGGGTGACGTGAAGGGACCGGAAATCGATGTCTGACGCCATTTCGAAATTCAAGCTGGCGGCTTCCGGTTAAAAAAAAAACTTGGAAATTCTGTCAAATATCTCTCAATATGGGTACTTTCAAAATTGGGGTGACGTGTAGGGACCATATTGGACAGAATTTCCAAGTTTTTTGCTAACGGAAAGCCACCATATTGAATTCAAAATGTCGTCAGCCATGCATTTACGGCCTCTAAACATCACCACGATTGCAAAAATACCCATATTGAGGGGTATTTCATAGTATTTTTCAATTTTCCTGTAACTGGAAGCCACCATCTTGAATATAAAAAAAGGCATTAGTTTACGGTCCCTACACGTCACCAAGATTCCTAAAATACTCATAATGTGGTGAATTTGACAATATCCCAGTTTTATTTAAACGAAAGCCGTTATCTTGGATATCAAAATGGCGCCAGGCATGGATTTCTGGTCGTCACCCCGATTCCAAAAATACCCCTAGATAAGGGGTATTTGACAAAATTTCCAATTTTTTCTCTAACTGGAAGCCGCCATCTTTAATTTTAAAATGGCCGCAGACATCGATTTTAGGTCCTTACACGTCAATCCGACTCTAAAAATACAAATATTGTGAGGTATTTGAGAGAATTTACAAGTTTTTCTCTTGCCGTAAGCAGCCATCTTGAATTTCAAAACGCCAGACATCGATGTTCGGTCCCTACACGTCATCAAGGCTCCAAAAATACCCATAATGTGGATAATTTGGCAGTAGTTCCCAGCTTTTCTCTAACCGAAAGCTGGCATATGGAATTCAAAATAGTATCAGACATGGGTTTCCAGTCCTTACACTTCACTAAGATTCCAAAAACATTGAGAGGAATTTGACTTAATTTTCAAGTTTTTCTTCAGCCGGAATCCGCCATGTTTAATTTCACAATGGCCGCAGACATCGATTTCCGGCCCTTACCCGTAACCCCAACTCCAAAAATACCCATATGGTGCGATATTTGAGAAAATTTCTAAGTTTTTCTCTAACCGGAAGCAACCAGCTTGAATTCAAAATGGCTTTAGACATCGATTTCCGGTCCCTACACGTCATTCCGATTTCAAAAATACCCAATATTGTGGGTAATTTTGCAGTATTGCCCAGTTTTTCTCTAACCGGAAGCCACCATATTGGATTAAAAAAAGCGTTAGACATCGATTTCCGGTCCCTAAACGTCACCCCGATTCCAAAAATACCCATATTGTGGGTAATTTCGCAGTATTGCCCAGTTTTTTCTCTAACCGGAAGCCGCCATATTGGATTTCAAAAAAGCGTTAGACATCGATTTCTGGTCCCTACACGTCACCCCGATTCCAAAAATACCCATATTGTGGGTAATTTGGTAGTTTTTCCAAGTTTTTCTCTAACCGGAAGCCGCCATCTTGAATTTCAAAAAGGCGTCAGACATGGTTTTTTGGTCCCTACACGTCACCAAGATTTCAAAAATACCCAATATTGTGGGTAATTTTGCAGTATTGCCCAGTTTTTCTCTAACCGGAAGCCGCCATATCGGATTTCAAAAAAGCGTTAGACATCGATTTCCGGTCCCTACACGTCACCCCGATTCCAAAAATACCCATATTGTGGGTAATTTGGCAGTATTTCCCAATTTGTCTCTAACCGGAAGCCGCCATATTGGATTTCAAAAAAGCTTTAGACATCGATTTCCGGCCCCTACACGTCATCAACACTCTAAAAATGCTCATATTGAGAGGTATTTCACAGAATTTCCAAGTTTTTCTCGCACCGGAAGCCGCCATATTGCATTTCAAAAAGTCTTCAGACATCGATTTCCAGTCCTTACACGTCACCAAGATTCCAAAAATACCCATGTTGTTGGTTATTTTGCAGTATTTCCCAGCTTTTCTCTAACCGGAAGCCGCCATATTGAAATAAAAATAACGTCAGGCGTTGATTTCCGGTCCCCGTACGTCACCCAGATACCAAAAAATACCCATTTTGTGCGGTATTCGACAAAATTTTCCAAAAACTTTTTAGGAAATAAATCGCAAATAATGTTTTTTACGTCTATTTCGATTTACGAACCGCCGGTGTGGTTCGTAAATGGAGGAATACACTGGAACCTGGAACCTAATTAAAAAAAACCACGATTGAAAAAAAAATCTTCGTCCGCAACCGAAAACAACAAACAGCCAAAACTGAAAGGGTCTAGCAAAGGCCGAACATTTTCAATCCATTTAAATGATGTTTTTATGCATGATTTCGAACATGTGAACGCGGATTATGTTTAAGAAAATAATAAAATATTTAATCTACCTTGTTTGACATGAAATACGACTCGAAACGCATGTTCATAGTAAAAAATAAAAACCTGAGATTAAACTGACAAATGAACCTACAAAAACTGCATGGGCCTTCTTCGGAAAACAAAGCAAACTGACATTTCGGCGAATGAACACCGAGTCACTTTGCAACTCACCCAAGAATGAACCTCTCACCTCACCCGAGTCGACTGTCGGAATAGAGTGAGAAGAGTCATGTGACTGCGAGGTGACAATTCCAGAACAACATGTGAAAAGGGCATACAAGCTTTTTGTAAACAAACCTTCTTATGCCCTTTTCTCGCCACCCATATGACACCAACGCAAACCTTTAACATCACCGGGTAGGGGACACTTTCCCCTCCCGATGATATTGCTGGTTTGCGTGGGCGACCCTCGGTTGGTGAGAAAAGGGCCTACAAAGGTTTGTTTACAAAAAGCTTATATGCCCTTTTCACATGTTGTTCTGGAATTGTCGTCTCACCTCATACGCCACGCAGAATAACCCTGAGTATTAGCCCTAGCCGCTCGGTTCCTGTGGCGTCTAATCACGCGGGAAATCGAAATCCGAACGCCACGCAGATCGGAGTCGATTGCTACAATCGTATAGCAGAAAATACCAACACAACGTAGGGAAACATAACACAAAGCAATTCCTAAAATTATTCAAATAATCGTAGTAATTTCGGTAATCGAGAGTATAAAAAATAATTTCAAAGAAATAAAGTAATTTTTATTAATTGAAAAGTAATCAAAGTTATTTTCGGTAATCTGACTGGCACTGCCCGTTAATTAACACTGGTAGAAACCCCTCGTGGAAAAAGAATTGAAAGTGAAGAAACCGCCCAGCTTCCCAAAGAGTCAAAATCAGCGATCCAGATGTACTCATACCTATCCTGCTGCCGAAAACATTCTAGCTGAAAGTCACATGGATGCTAAAAGCAACAAAAGATTGGTCATCTCTTGCAAACCTTTTCAAACAATGGACACTGTCATCAAAAGCCACGAAGCGGAGTTATTATTTTTTCAAATGACATTTGAAGTTTGTTTTATTCAAATTGGAATTCATAAATATATATATAACATCGAAGAGATTCTTTTTTCACTATTTACTTTTGAGGTTTTCATAAAACAGCATTTCATTATCTTTCTTTTATCATCTTTGTCTTGACTTAAAAGGTACTGTAAACTTACATCGATTTGTTGATTTGTGTTTTGTTCATTCGTTCTCTATGCGTTCTGTTTCATAAAGTCAAAGATTTGTAGCTTCATTCTATTTTAAATATTCGACAAGCGCTGCTGTAGTTCTAAATTTGTTCGTTTTATTGGAAAGTAATTAAAATGTATGCGATTCATCTTAAGAGAGGTTGGAGCTATTTACAATACTTTCAAGTAGAGATATCTAAAAATGGGCAAGCCTTGGACAAGACGAGTGACTGCATTCATATTGCTTGTTTGCTTCCGATACACATCCAAACAACGGAGAGACACGAGTATGGAAAATGTTCAATCAAAACTACTTACACAGAAATGTACAACGATTTCTCCATCTGACTCGAGGGATGATTGGATTGGATTGAGCAAAAAAAAAACGAAACGGCGCACTATGCACTACTTAATTGTAAAATTTATAAATTACTGTACATCAACACGCGCGACTCCAGCGAGAATGGATCTGTTTGCATTATTCTTTACACAATTACAGTGCGGAGACTTCGGCTAGGCTCGAAGTAAAAAGTGTACGAGAACAAATTAATTAGGTTTGCGGCAGTAACGCTTCAATGAGGAGGAAAAATTGGCGAATAAAAAGATTTTAACCGCTCACTGGACCTCAATTTAGTGCTTTTTTCTCTTCATTTCTTGTGGTGCGCTTCCCCCTTCATTACACAAGCCTCTGCCATTCGGTTCGGTGGATGAATGCGATGGTCGGTCGAGCTAGTTACTGGTCGCTGTTTTACCCCGTGCATATGAGTTCTGTTACTTTTTTTTAGAAAGCAGAAAAAACAACGACAGCACCGCAAGCGGCTGTATGAGATGATTAATGAAAATATAAATAAATTTAATTATATTTTACAATTGCTAATTTCACCGCTTTTAATGGCGTGCTTATGTGTATGGGTTAGCGTCCGCACGCTACGAGTGGTTTTTCTTTCATCGTGCTCTTCGGGTTTCACAAGCCACCCTTTTTTTTCTTTTGTGAGTATATTATTTTCCATCTCTTCGCCCGCTGACAATTGTAGGAACATAAATAAATCATGACATAATTTAATAGTTTTCAGTTTCTTTTCGCATTCGCTTCACGAAAAAAAAACAACAAAACCTAAAGCTTTTGTATTGGCACTCGGGAGAGGGGTTTTTATTTCCTAACCGACTAAAAACACATTTTTCATCGCGGTCTTACGCTTAACTTAAAGGAGCAAAAGTATTTAAAAACAAAGCATGCCGAGCTGTATGAGAGTCGACGACTTCGACGCACAGACAAAAGGAACGTCACAAAAATCTCACATTTTTTGACAGGTTGCTTCGGGACGGCAACAAAGGAAGCGGCTCTAATGCAGAGCCCAACGAAGCGCGCGAGCAAAACAATAGACAGTGCCTGACACTGACAGTTACGCAGTTATTTGAATAGTTCGATCTCCTGTTGGTGTTGCTGCTGTTGGTTGAGATGGTGATGGTGATGATGATGGATTGTGTAATTGTTCATCATCATGTTGTACGTGGCGGCGGCTGCCGCTGTTGATGCCGCCACGGAGGAGGTACCGTTATTGTTGTTATTGTTTGATTCGTTGACAGTTGACCCACCGTGTGACGTTGGATTAACGTCACCGTAAGCACTACTACTGCTACCGCTGCCACTACCATGCTGATGCGGATGAGGATGATGGTGGTGGTGGCCGGGATGGTATGGAGCCGATCCTAACTTCACGTTCGAATAGGCCGCGTAATTGGACGCTATTTCTGACGGGATGTGGTACACTTGAGCTTGCGATTGAGGTAGTAGATTATTGTTGGAGCTACTTCGCTGCTGGTGGCCGTTGGCACCGTTGTCGTTGTTCAGTAGGCTGTGACTGTTGGTGTACTCTTCCAGTTTCACTAGACTATTACTAACCTCACTACTAGCGTTGTTGTTATTTCGTCGATCTATCGAATCACATCCGCTGCTACTGTTTGTCGAGGTAGAGAACAAATTCGATCGGCTTTGGAAGCCACTATCGCAGTACGGGTTATGGAACAAATTTTTACTCGGATTACTCGCTTCTTGCAAAAATGCACTCTGGAAGTACGACGGATGATGATAGTTCATTGCCGTTGACTGATAACCTCCACCCTGTCCGTACTCTCCCATCCCAGAGAACATTGTCTTCCCTGCACTTTCATACCCTTTCTCCTGCTTAATCTGAGGCATCCTAATATTCGCATTGATATCCTCCTGCTGTTCACCGTTCTTCTGCTTCTTCACCTTCGGCACAGTCAACTGTCCCCCTTTGTCAGCGACTTCCAACCGTTTCACACTACCTTCCACTTTCCCTAATTTTACATCGTCCTTTTTCGTCTTTGCCTCTTCCGCTTTCTCACTTTTCTTGGCAATCTTCTTCGCCTTGTTTTCATGTGTCTTCACGTGTTTTGCCAGATGATCACTTCTCATAAACTTCTTACTACAAATACTGCACGTAAACCGCTTCTCTCCCGTATGCGTACGGAAATGCCTCTGCAGTTCGTCGGACCGGGTAAATCTCTTCCCACAGAACAACCACTTACACAGAAACGGTCTCTCTCCAGTGTGCCACCTTAGATGTGCCTTCAGGTGACTCGTCTTTCCGTAGATTTTCTCGCAACCCGGTATGTGACAGATGTGCTGTCGTTTACCTTTCTCGTCCGGACCGACCACCGGTGGCAGGCCAGACAGTTCGTTGATACAGTTAGGGCAGGTACAGCGAGCACAGCGACGCTGCGCCTGAGTTTGGTGAGAATAGTCTTCCAGCTTCAGCCCGTAGGCTTCTCCATGCCAACCCTGGTACATTGACTCTTGAGCGAACCAAGGATTGCCGGCCATGTTGTTGTAGTAGCTGGCCGCCGGGTACTGGTACGATGGGTAGTGCATTTGCTGAGACCTGTGGACAGATAAGAATATTTAAAATATTAGAACTGACGAACAACCCTAACACCGTTTCAAGCCAAAACGTACCGTGCGGTCATCTCCAATGCTGCCGCGGTGGCAGGACTTTGCTGGACCATCGCGCCGAAACCGTATGCGGAAGTGGCGGCAACGGCTGCAGCGGCGGCTGCCGCACTGGTCACCGTGTCTGGACTGGCGGCGTTCGAGCCGCCTCCACCGGTTGTACTGAAACTGCTACTGGCGGTGCTGGCACCACCGCCGCCACCACCACCGGTTCCGCCCCCTCCGGTGCCGTTCGACGACGCGATCGATTGCGTCGGAGAAAGTCCCGCCGAGCCGAGCGATGCTACCGAACCGAGACTGCTGACGGATGGGGGCTGCGGAGGATACTGATACGGAAGGATATTGAGGGGTGACAACTGAAAGAAATAGGAAACAGGAAACGATTAGTATGACGAATGCGGAGGTGTCAGTTATGCATTGAAAATGGGATTTATTGATACTGATATTTAACACGAACAGAAAGCTTAACCTAACGTTCCAATGATATAAATTGCGTTTCAACCAAAGGTGGAGTAGAAACACTTTGTCAAAACATTTTTGAATGAAAAATACAAACAAATTGTTAACTCCTTGTTTGCCTTTATTATGTACTCACCATTATCACAACCAAAAACAATTATTTTGAATTGAAAATTCGTACGGAAATAATCTGTATTCGTGTCTATGATCTATAACGACAACACTGCACGAATTCAATATTTTAGATAATCATGTCCATTTTTATTAAACATTCAGATACAAATGCATCGTACATACCTATCTATCCTGTAAAAAATAAATTGGCTCTCCATAAGTCGGAATCGACTGAGGGAACCATACTAAAATGGATCATATAATTAGACCTATTTAAACTAACGTTTCCTACCATTTGAACTTTGCCATGCAACAATATTTTGATATATATTTTTCTTCTAGGACCTCGAGAATGGGAATAAGTTATGCTAAGCTTGAAAAATCTAGATTTTTTGTATGCATCAGAAATGCCTGGAGTTAGAGGCAGTCACGTTTACCACTACTCCACCGGCGCCGCTACCCATTTGAATTTAAAAGTAGATACTGTCTCTTAGAGATATTTCTTTTAATTTTGAAAGTTCTATTGAAACTTTTCGTCGAGACATCATAAACCTCAATATAACCGAAAAAAACTTAAAAATAACCCATATAAAACAATTGCCGAAATCGACCTCAACTTTGTTTGCAAAAGTTCCTCAGATGAAACATTTAATTATTAGTATCAAAATGGAGGGAAAATCCCCTTATTCACATTGCAGAGGTTTCGGGATTGCCGGTTTTTGTTTCGTTTGATGTTTGATCAGCTTAGTTGATACTAATGCAAAAAGGTTATTCCATCTCAAGTTTGTTCAAAACATCCATGAATAGAGGCCAACCAAAGTAACCAACCACTAATTGCACTTTTTGCAATGTATGGCTGATATACGACGAGTATTAGGATTGGATGCTCTATATTAAACTAACGTATAAGCATAAAATTCTTTGCTCGTGAGCTAATTAAGACTGCGTGTAAAACAAATTCTACGAGGCTGTTGGACGACAAATTTAATGGAGGTATATCGAAGCGAAGTTTGACATTTTTACCAGAAATTCCTCCAAGAATTTGGAAACTTATCTACTTAACGTGCACCTATTATGTTAGCAAATATTATGTTTTGAGCTAGTAGATTATTAGATATGGTCTGATGCATACAGGCACTATTGAACATTCCATCACAGTGTAAAGTAACGCGTACTTGCCCTGTAACGTGGGCACCTTTTCGTGATACGTTACGGCTTGTAAGATCTACCACCGATTCCTAGTCCTGACTACTCCAAACTATGGGAAGCGGATTTTTCAGTAATCATAGGAACACATCTTAGTCCTTGTTACTGTTTATGCCTTGTTAATAGTGATAAGTCCTCGGGTCGCCTGGACCGAGGATGATCTTGAAACAAGGAAAAAATAAGTTTGTCTTCATCTTTGTGATTCCTATTCGTTGTTTGAATTGGTTAAGATTAGGGTTCTCATGCATGGTCATTATCGGAATCATTGTTTAATTTTGTTGCTAGGGAATCCAATTTTGACTGACAAAGGGGCGCGTCTTTGGAGGGTGCTCTCACTCTTCGAAGGGTATAAATAGCTCAACCTTTCAATTAGAAGCAATTCCTTGCGATGAAGGCAAGAATGACAACTGTATCAAAACCGAATACTTCATCATTTTTCAATAGTCTTGCATTAAACTATGGACACGGGATGTACTGCAATAGATCAAATTACTGGTCGCAGTGGTTTTATGTCCCGAACAGAGGATTAAAATGAGCGCTTACTTTTTATATATGTGGGTAATACATTAATTTCGAAAATTGTATAAGATATTCGAATAACACTTTTCGTGTAAATTGTCAAACTCTTCCATACTCGACTCCAGGTTATTACGCTAACGTTTCCTATACAAATTACAATTATTTACCTGCATAACTCGGTATTCTCCCTAACTCGATGGTCCAAGTTAGGGAGGGTCAATATCGAGTTAGGGAGAGTTGACTATATTTTGATCGAAAATTTTTTGATAAAGCATGCATCATGGCGAAAAGTTTTTGAATTTGTACGGCGAGATTTTCAGCATCATATGCAAAGTTTCAGTAACGACGTAATAGCTATGGTGAAAATCAATCAGTTCTTCTAGTTAATGCGGTGTTCAATTAAATGAAAATAACTGGACGGGCGGTAGCTGGTGGCCGTGAACGGTTCCTGGGGGAAACCACTAGATGCGAACCTCCTCCCAGATCACCTACAGGAAGTATTACAACAAAGGTAATTGCTATTAGATAGTTTGCAAACAGTGACAGATAGCGGACACGAAGAACCAGTGGAGGTGCCGGGCAAAGGTGTTTATCCTAGACAAAAGGTAAGTTAAAAATACGCTGTTGTCGTTGTCGTAATCGCCGTCGTAGTCGTAGGCAGTACCGTAAGTATATTTAAAATTAAACATCAACCGCTGAAAATATGAATTATCGCGTATTTCGGTTGTTCATAACATTCCAAGTGAAATTCGAGAACGTAATTTCATTTGAATAGCTTGTTTAACCAGGCTTTAAACAATCGTCACGTCGGTCATAGCTTGTTATGATTGTCTGAACCATGCGTAAAGAGAAAATCGAAACATTGAACGTCGCGTGAAAGTGGATCTTAATGAAGGCCTAAGTACTCTTTCGTAGTTTTTAGTTTTAGGATTTCAAAGATCGTCGGTTGCAGTGGCTTGCTTACTCAGGAGAAAAACGCGGTACCAGATCCTTTCATATTAAAAATGCATGGTAAGATCGCTTGTTTATCGTGTATTTTGTAAAAAATTTCGTTGTCGTCGGTGCCTGGTTTGAATAGTTATAAAAACTTGAGTAACGCTATAATGTGATATGAGAGGCTCGGTGGCCTTAGAGCAGCCGTTTTTGCTTACTGAGCAGAACATCATGAGTCTAATCTCAAGCCCATCCATATTCAAGATTCGTCAATGATTAAAAAGGAGCTCGTCTGCCTAGTGGCAAACGTTTTTGCTTACTGAGCAGAAGACCGTGGGTTCAATCCCAAGCTCCTTCGCGTTATACGTATATACGAATTGTGATTCCTCGTGGAAGTGCAGAGGACTCCTCGGCTTCCATCAAAGCGAGTGTCACGTCAACACATTCCTAACCATTTCTTTCTTGACCAGCGTTCAGGTGCGGCTGGCGCTGGTATTGCCTAATTCGAGATCACCAGTTTTTACACATTGAGGATGATTGCTAGTCCCAAGCATCGTATATTGGTTTTCTGTGTAATTACAGCAGGTCTGGCAATAACAGAGCAGCAACCGTGGGCGGTCAATCATGCTCATGCTCATGCTCATGTTCAATTGAATGGAAATAACAAGCTTCGAATAATCAGAGTACAACTGCATTGAAAAATAATCGATTGATTGATTGATTCAATTAGGAGCTAGATACCATAAATACAATCGACTTTATTCTAAAGGCCCACGCACATTAGATCCGGATCGGACGCGTTGCGGCAAAATGACAGCTAAATCTATTGTCTAACTGTCAAATATACGTCAACGCAACGCAAACGAATCTAATGTGGGTGGCCCTTAAGTGTGGGTTGTTATGATAACACAAGCCAATTTGATTGTGCGGAGTTGTTTTGAAAACAAGAATGTTATTGGAAAATTATTTTCATTTTCAGTAAAGGGGAGGGGGGGGGGCTGGCTGACCCGCCACATGCAGGCTACATGATCGCCATGGCAAGGGATGATGATTAGATTGAAGTGGGTGGTGGACATTTTTTGGATTGAGTTGGCCACGATGCTACAAAATGATATGGAATGTGTAAGTTAGAAATAATTTGAAATTTTAATGATAATATGAATTAATTTTTGAGAGTTCCGCTCTGCTTTGAATCAAATTTGAGAATTATATAATGATAATTTCATATCGTTAGCGTTGTTACGGTATACTTCGTAGATTGGATTTAGTGTTTGTGCATTTTAAAGTTTATGGTTTACTGAGAGGTAAGGAATAGTTCCACTGCGATAACGATTTAAACAAGTCAACTTTTGGTTACTATGGCGCTTTATGATCTCGAAACCCGGCGATGGTGGTTTATTCTGTTTTGGGAGAGCTTGGGATTAAACCCATGATTTTCTGCTCAGTTCAATTTAAGAGTGAATTGCGGCAAAACCCGCCGCTATCACACCTGATGTCAGTGCCTTTATATAAACCACTGGGCCACTGTCTTGGTTTCCCATGCAGGTCTACAGCATGAGATTAAACTCTCCCACCTTCGGAAAGGTGCTTAAGAATGGCCTATGAGAGGGAAGAATTTTATTAGAAAATAATAGAGATTTTAAATTCTACTAATTTCAAAAACCATTGAAACGATGTAAAAGTTTTGAGGAAGAGGATACAATATTTGCGGAAAGGGAGCTGATACAATCGAGAAAGCACTGCCCAAGTAACCTGCAAGCACGATAATTGCCCTTTTCTCAATATAAGGCTGATATACGACTAATATAAAGTTAAGAAGCCTTATATTAATCTAATTAGCTTAAAATGCAAAAATGGCGGTTATCGGGTACTTGGGTGTAATATGAATATTAAAACTTTCTGAACTAAAATTAATTAGGCCAAATGACGTTCATAACCATAAGAAGTTCGAGGAGGGGTGCCTGCAATTTCTACGAAGAATTTTTGAATTATACACTACTAACCTTTTCCATATGGGGCAACCGGAAATAGTCCCAATATAGTAAAATAGTGCCAATAGGATTTCAGACTCAGCATGGTAAAAGTGATCGTGGGTACTATCATTGAAATTGTGTATAATTTCTCA